GTTAGCCTAGTTCTACTGCATTGTTTGTTTTGGGATTCAAAGGCTGAAATATTTGGGAAACGCTTTATTAGCAAACTTTTTATTGCTACCGTATTATTCACACTATAAGCCGCACCAAATTTATAAGGCGCACCTTCAATGAATTGAAAAGACACAAAGAATAGAAGCTACAGCAGAGTTGGGCTATACATCCACTAGATGCAGCTGCGCTAAAGAGAATATAACAGACAGATATGCAAGTCAAACTTTAATATACTGTATTATGCTATTTACAATATGACCAACCTTCTTAAGCTGTAAACCTACGCTGTCTCCCTGTCTTGGTAAACGTGTGTTCGCCTTCTACATCCGCTGCTCCCAAGCAGTTAACAGTCTTGCTTTGAATGTCATGTGGACACCAATATCTAGCGGCTGGAGTTATTTTATCAATCCACCCGGGATGACACCAAGCATTGAATTAGTGGACTTCACTTGTTTTTCTGACACCATCGGTGATATGGGAGCGCATCGAGTTGTAGATCAAAAGGGACGGAGCTGTGTGAAAAAAGCCACCCTGTCTCCCAACGTAAATTTTCTCTCAACCACTTACTCATCTTCTCTTCATCCATCCATCCTTGCGGAGTTAGCTTGGTGGGCAAGAAATACGGTAAAGGATGACTTTTCATTCCCTGTGTTGCGAACATTCACTGTACGTGCTCCTGTTTCATCCACAGTGGAACCTCATCCATGTTGATGATGTGCTCTTGTCTAATCTTTTTTCACAAATCTTTTTGCAGTATGCACGGAAAGAGGCCAGCTTTTCTTGGTAGTCTTTTGGCCGTTGCTACAAAACAGCAGTTCATGAGCGAATGGACAGATTACGTCATTTCATAAACCTCAAGCACCAAGAAGGACCGCCTGTTAAAGTCATTGTTAAGTTTGCGTGCTAAATAGTGACTGCTGAGACACTTCTACTTGCTGCTCTGTTCAATAACCCACTTTTCGAGTTTATCCTCTAACTGTATCCATCTTGCTTTGTTCCTTCGGAAATTCGTTTCAGTCTTCTTTACCTGGCACAGGTCATCTTCTTGCTTCCTCCACTTCTGCACCATTGATTCATTAATGTTTAATTCTCAAGCTTCTGCTCTATTCCCATGTTTTACTGGGCAACTGATAGCACTAAGTCTAAACTCTACGCCATACGCCTATCTCTTGAAATAAGCCATTAGGGGCTCTTAACACACACAAATTAAAATGAAAATTCCAAGTATGCGCCAGGTGCTACTTCTTCTACTGGAGAGAATGGAGACGTCAGTTACCAGACCTGAAGAAGCTTAATCTTGATTTGTACATAGGGCATGCCGGAATTATAAGGCAGCTGATGGTTTTGGAGAAAATGTAAGGCTTTTAGGTGTGCCTTATAGTGCGGAAACTACAGGACTTTTAGAACATCTTCCTTGC